TGATGGTACCTCACAACGCACCAATTTCCCATCTCTCCTTTTTAAGCTTTAGGAGTTGATCCAAAAAAAAAAAACAACAACAAAAGGTCAGATTAAAAGAGCAGTCAAAATATGGCGGCCGGAACTAACGACGCCATCTTGTAAACAACATTCTCTCGCGTCAAGCAGGCAACCTTGCATGTGTCATAATTTACAATCCTGTCACATTGTCACCATGTCATCATGTCACCTCTCCTAATTTTTTTGAGTAAGGCAAACAGGACACATGGGCGTAACCATAATATGTATTCAAGTAGGCTCTTGCATATGACAGCAATGGCACTTATGAGTGACGCCAATGTCACTTATGTGTGACATTAGTAGCCCTTAAGTGTGATCTCAATGGCACTATGTGTCACCCCAGTGGCACTTATGTGTGACCCCAGTGGCACTTATGTGTGACCCCAATGTCACTTATATGTGACCCAATGTCACTTATGTGTGACCAAAATGTCACTTTTGTGTCACCCCAATGTCACTTATGTGTGACCCAATTTCACTTATGTGTGACCCCAATAGCACTTATGTGTGACACCAATGTCACTTATGTGTGACCCCAATGTCGCTTATGTGTGACCCCAATAGCACTTATGTGTGAACCCCATTTCACTTATGTGTGACCCCAATATCACTTATGTGTGACCCCAGTGGCACTTATGTGTGACCCCAATAGCACTTATGTGTGACCCCAATGTCACTCATGTGTGACCCCAGTGTAACTTATGTGTGACCCCAATGTCACTTATGTGTGACCTCAATGTCACTTTTGTGTGACCCCATAGCACTTATGCGTGACCCCATTGGTACTTATGTTTGACCTCAATAGCACTTATGTGTGACCCCAATGTAACTTATGTTGAACCCCAATAGCACTTATGTGTGACCCCCATAACACGTATGTGTGACCCCAGTGGCACTAATGTGTGACCCCAATTTCACTTATGTGTGACCCCAGTGGGACTTAATGTGCGACCCCAGTGTCACTTATGTGTGACACCAATAGCACTTATGCGTGAAACCCATTGGCACTTATGTGTGACCCCAATGTCACTTATGTATGACCCCAATGTCACTTATGTGTGACCCCAATATCACTTATATGTAACCCCCATAGCACGTATGTGTGACACCAGTGGCACTTATGTGAGACCCCCGTGTCACTTATGTGTGACCCAAATGTCACTTATGTGTGACCCCAATGTCACTTATGTGTGACCCCAATGTCACTTATGTGTGACCCAAATGTCACTTATGTGTGACCCAAATGTTACTTATGTGTGAACCCAATGTCACTTATGTGTGACCCCAATAGCACTTATGTGTGACCCCATAGCACGTATATGTGACCCCAGTGGCACTAAAATCTAACTCCAATGTCACTTATGTTAGACCCCCCACGTCACTTATGTGTGACCCCAGTGTCACTTATGTGTGACCCCAATGTCACTTATGTGTGACCCCAATGTCACTTTTGTGTGACCCAAATGTAACTTATGTATGACCCCAATTGCACTTATGTGTGACCAATGTCACTTATGTGTGACCCCAATAGCACTTATGTGTGACCTCAATAGCACTTATGTGTGACCCCAATGGTAATTATGTGTGACCCCAATGTCACTTAAGTGTGACCCCAATAGCACTTATGTTTGAGCCCAAAAGTAATTATGTGTGACCCCAGTGGCACTTATGTGTGACCCCAATTTCACTTATGTGTGATCCCAGTGGCACTTATGTGTGACTCCAGTGTCACTTATGTGTGACCCCAATAGCACTTATGCGTGACCCCATTGGCACTTATGTGTGACCCCAATGTCACTTATATGTGACCCCAATGTCACTTACGTGTGACCCCAATAGCACTTATGTGTGACCCCAATAGAACTTATGCGTGACCCCATTGTCACTTATGTGTGACACCAATGGTAATTATGTGTGACCCCAATGTCACTTATGTGTGACCCCAATAGCACTAATGTGTGACCCCAATTTCACTTATGTGTGACCCCAGTGGCACTAATCTGTAACCCCAGTGTCACTTATGTGTGACCCCAGTGTCACTTATGTGTGACCCCAATAGCACTTATGCGTTACCCCATTGGCACTTATGTGTGACCTCAATAGCACTTATGTGTGACCCCAATGTCAGTTATGTGTGACCCCAATAGCACTTATGTGTGACCTCCATAGCACGTATGTGTAACCCCAGTGGCACTAATGTGTGACCCCAATTTCACTTATGTGTGACCCCAGTGGCACTTATGTGTGATCCCAGTGTCACTTATGTATGACCCCAATAGCACTTATGCGTGACCCCATTGGCACTTATGTGTGATCCCAATGTCACTTATGTGTGACCCCAATAGCACTTATGTGTGACCCCAAAAGTAATTATGTGTGACACCAGTTGAACTTATGTGTGATCCCAATGTCACTTATGTGTGACCCCAATGTCACTTATGTGTGACCCCAATAGCACTTATGCGTGACCCCATTGGCACTTATGTGTGACACCAATGGTAATTATGTGTGACCCCAATGTCACTTGTGTGACCCCAATACCACTTATGTGTGACCCCAATAGCACTTATGTGTGACCCCAATGGTAATTATGTGTGACCCCAATGTCACTTATGTGTGTCCCCAATAGCACTTATGTTTGAGCCCAAAAGTAATTATGTGTGACCCCAGTGGCACTTATGTGTGACCCCAGTGGCACTTATGTTTGACCCCAATTTCACTTATGTGTGACCCCAATTGCACTTATGTGTGACTCCAGTGTCACTTATGTGTGACCCCAATAGCACTTATGCGTGACCCCATTCGCACTTATGTGTGACCCCAATGTCACTTATATGTGACCCCAATGTCACTTATGTGTGACCCCAATAGCACTTATGTGTGACCCCCATAGCACGTATGTGTGACCCCAGTGGCACTAATGTGTGACCCCTATTTCACTTATGTGTGACAACAATGTCACTTTTGTGTGACCCCAGTGTCACTTATGTGTGACCCAAATAGCACTTATGCGTGACCCCATTGGCACTTATGTGTTACCCCAATGTCACTTATGTGTGACCCCAATAGCACTTATGTGTGACCCCAAAAGTAATTATGTGTGACCCCAGTGGAACTTATGTGTGACCACAATGTCAATTATGTGTGACCCTAATGTCACTTGTGTGTGACACCAATGGTAATTATGTGTGACCCCAATGTCACTTATGTGTGACCCCAATAGCACTTATGTTTGAGCCCAAAAGTAATTATGTGTGACCCCAGTGGCACTAATGTGTGACCCCAATTTCACTTATGTGTGAACCCAGTGGCACTCATCTGTAACCCCAGTGTCACTTATGTGTGACCCCAGTGTCACTTATGTGTGACCCCAATAGCACTTATGCGTTACCCCATTGGCACTTATGTGTGACATCAATAGCACTTATGTGTGACCCCAATGTCAGTTATGTGTGACCCCAATAGCACTTATGTGTGACCCCCATAGCACGTATGTGTAACCCCAGTGGCACTAATGTGTTACCCCAATTTCACTTATGTGTGACCCCAGTGGCACTTATGTGTGATCCCAGTGTCACTTATGTATGACCCCAATAGCACTTATGCGTGACCCCATTGGCACTTATGTGTGATCCCAATGTCACTTATGTGTGACCCCAATAGCACTTATGTGTGACCCCAAAAGTTATTATGTGTGACCCCAGTGGAACTTATGTGTGACCCCAATGTCACTTATGTGTGACCCCAATGTCACTTATGTGTGACCCCAATAGCACTTATGCGTTACCCCATTGGCACTTATGTGTGACACCAATGGTAATTATGTGTGACCCCAATGTCACTTATGTGTGACCCCAATAGCACTTATGTGTGACCTCCATAGCACGTATGTGTAACCCCAGTGGCACTAATGTGTGACCCCAATTTCACTTATGTGTGACCCCAGTGGCACTTATCTGTAACCCCAGTGTCACCCCAATAGCCATTATGCGTGACCCCATTGGCACTTATGTGTGACCTCAATAGCACTTATGTGTGACCCCAATGTCAGTTATGTGTGACCCCAATAGCACTTATGTGTGACCCCCATAGCACGTATGTGTAACCCCAGTGGCACTAATGTGTGACCCCAATTTCACTTATGTGTGACCCCAGTGGCACTTATGTGTGATCCCAGTGTCACTTATGTATGACCCCAATAGCACTTATGCGTGACCCCATTGGCACTTATGTGTGATCCCAATGTCACTTATGTGTGACCCCAATAGCACTTAT